AGAACGCAGTTTTTCATGCCTTAAGCGGATCAAAAGTTATCTACGAAGTACCATGTCGGAAGATCGGTTGACGAACTTGGCAAAAATATCGATCGAAAAAGAATTATTAAATGAACTGATAGTGTCACAGCCGTTTTACGATGACGTTATAAATAAGTTTGCTAATTTGAAGGACCGACGAATTGCTCTCATATATAAACAATGAAAAGTGCCTGATAATCCTGACTTTGTTTTCGAGTTACTGAATTTAGGTAAGTTATTTCATGTTTTTTTTTGTGTATGCGCTCTACATGGTATGGGGGGGGTCGGTCAATCCTGCGTCACCTATTTGTAAAATCACGAGCCGCCACTGCCACCCGCTAGCTTTTTTTCAAGATATCTTAAGAATGTCCGCATGTTTCCACACCTAAGCTACGCAGTCGGTTATCTTCCCCAACAAAGAAATTAATTATGATCGATCCCTCGATTACTAAGCATTTCAGACGTAAACTTACTCCATTCTCGGAATGTCCGGGTGGAGGGTGCACGCTGTTCATCACTACCTGCAATCTAATGGTTCCACAATGCTTTTTGGCGCAGACAAAAATCTAATAGTCTACACCGATTAATCGCCAGAACCCTGCTGGATCTCTTTGTGACGACGCATATCCTTTCTGTTCCTCACAGCATTGCTGTCCTGCCTCCCCTGGGTAACTCAGACCACGGTGTTGAGGAGGTAAGGTTTCGGTCAGAACTCGCTGTGGCAACGGAAACTCACTCAGGCCGAAAAATTGTGATCCCTTGGAGAAATGTTTGTTTCGCTGATGCGGATGGGTCGCTTGCCTGTTCATCGATTTCCGGAATTATCCACGTTGGCATGAAGGAATACATCCCTCATATAGTGAATGTGCCAGAACCAGGGTCCAAGGGCTGTTTCTTCAAATCGTGCGACCCTGCTCGTCAGCAGAAGATAGAGGAACACAGAACCCTCTTACAAAACCCTTCTTTAGAGAACAGACAAGCCGACGTTGAGTCCAAAAACAAGTATAACTGCTGTCCGCAATGCCAAAGACCAGCACGATATAAAAGTCAAACACACTGTCATGTCGCAGCGCAATGGCTGTTGGTCTTTCTGGATACTGGCCAAGCAGATTGAAAGGAACTTCTCACGTAGTAGCCTTCCACCACTTATGTGTCGGGATGGAACGACTGTAACTGACTCAAAGGCTAAGGCGGATGTGCTTGCGAAGATCTTTGCTGCCAACTCAACCAGGGACGTTCCCTCCAACGCCCTAGTGCCGTCGATTCTACACTTTGCGGTAAGTAACATTCAGGCATAAGACCGTAAGTCGGGTGCTCTTGTCGCTTGACATCAACAAAGCTGCTGGTCCTTACTTGATTCCTGCCGTTGTATTGAAGAGGTGTGCAGCAGAGCTTGCTCCAGGCTCATGTCGTAGCTCTTGATTCCTGCGTTCAATCAGCTGTGGTACGCTGCCCTATTATGCAAACTTCCACCTTATGGCCTCCCAGAGGAACTTTCACGATGGGTGGCTGACTTTCTCTCTAGCCGCAAAATATCCTTCGTAACTGACGGGTTCTCCTATTCATCCCACGTCGTCAACACGCCTGTTCCCCAGGCATCGGTCTTGGCTCCGACACTGTTCTTCTTACATATCAACAACCTGTTTTCCTGTACGATCGACTCAATCCACAGCTTTGCTGCTGCATGTAAGAATTCAGAGCGACAAGCCGATCTCTGCCGGTGAGCTGGAAAAAAGAAGACTACCAGTGACTTCCTCTCTGGCGAGAAACCTGGAAGTTGTCACTGCTTGGGAACGCAATAATCTTGTAGGTACAGTTTAATGCTTCCAAAACACAGTACTGTACCTTGACGAACAAAAAGCGTCCTAGCGCTCATCCGGTTTCGATGGATGGCAGAGTTCTACCAAAGAGCCGTTGATTTCGGCTGGTCGTAGTTCAGATCACCAAGGACTGGCACGAGCACATCTCGTCAATAGCGGCAGCTACTGGGAAAAAGCTAGGCTATTTGTTTAGGGCTAAGAAGTACTTTTCTCCGCACGACCTCCTCACTCTATACAACGCCCAGATAAAACCTAGCCTCGAGTATTGCTTACTCGTTTCTGGTGCTGCCGCCCTGACTACATTATTTATTCTTGATGATGTCCAAAGGAGGGCTGTCCGACTGATCGATGACTCTTCTCTAACAGACAGTCTCGGTACCCTTTCGCACCGGCGGGCCGTCGACGATCTAGCTCTCTTCTACCGCTACACCAACGGGATCCGCTCCTCAGAGCTCTCCTTCATGATGCCGCCGCGCGATGGATTTGCCAGACAGACCCGCCTGATTTCGGCCTCCTATCCTAACCGCTCCTTTATCCCGAGGGTGTCGAGATTATGAAACAAACAGCTGTTTCTCTATTTACTATGTATAGTTTGAAAAGATTAGTGCCTCATAGCTGGCGCTGTAGCCACCTGTATGATTGTCTATACTCATATAGTCAGCGCCATCTATGAGATATTAATCTTTCCAGAGACGCCCCAAAACATGATATTTGTGAATTTATTTCAAATATAATATTTTTGGTTTCTTTGCATGTTTATGGAAAGATACCAAAACCGATGCGACTATTTTTGAAGCGTTTTTATTTCGAAATTGTCTTCTTTGCAAAATGATTTGTGTATAGCAAAATACATAATGGAGACAACTTCAGTTGAATGATCTGTTTATTAAATAAACTTAGGCTTTGTAAAACAAATGATAACATTTTTACGTTGCTAAGAAGCTGATTTTTGACGTTAAAATCAACTGTCAATGCTTTGGTGTTATTAATCAAATCCAAGCGAATATCCAAAATGTCTGTGTTATGTGCCGCGGTTATAATATGGTTCAAGATGACACACGGGTTGATGACGTCAGTTACACGAATCGCTTGAACGCGTTGGTTTTAACCGCGGTTTTGTTGTTTATTTTAGAAAAGCGCGTATATAATCTCTGATTATTTTTATTACCACTTAATACTTAATCGGTGCTTTTTCGTCTACAACTCTGTATGGAAAGTTTAAAGAAGAAACCTTTCATAATATTCATGGGAGAAATGTTTTTTTTCAGATTTTTTTTTAATGATGAACCATGGCTTTGTAGCTATGATAACTTTCAATTCTCTAAAGTTTTCCGCATGTCAAATAAAATATTTATTGATTCAGCAGATGTTATATTAGCAAAACTTTATACAGGTGGACATCAACCAGTGAGTTTATATGGCCATATTTTAATATTCTTGTGGTATATGGCTACACAGGATACTTTGTTAAGCATAGGAACTACATTTAAAGTGTCCCCAATAACAGTATTGAGTATAACTAAAAAGGTGCTCCACTTTATGGTAAAACTGAAGTCAGCCTGTATCAAGTTTCCCTTAAATGAAACTGAAGTACAATAACAATATCGAATACCCGGCAAAATTCTAACTTGTCACATTTCAAATAATAACCAGAAATATAAAACTACTCCTGAGTTGGGTAAATACCACAATTTTACGGTGATAACTATGACATATAACAGCTCATTCATGACGTCACGGATCTTATAACCAAACTGATAACCACTCTCGCTTGAACGGATAGGTATGTAAATACCAACCCAAAATGGTAAATACCATTTTCATTTGGTTATCCGCTTGAATTTGATTATTGTAAAGAGGTAAAGATGGCTCGTGGTAAAGCTAACAGTATGAACAAATCGAGGTATACGGTTCGAAATATTATTAAATTGTACAAAACAAAGGGATCTGTGGCTCAAAAACCCAGAACTGGAAGTCGCCCGCGATATTCCAATACCAACTTAAGAGCCTTAAAACGGATTATCAAGGAATATCGGTGAGCTAATTATAACGAATTGAAAATATAATGGAATCAGGCAACTACAAAAAAGTTTTCAAGAGCAACTTGTCACAGAGCTGCTCAAAAACTGGGATTTAAAACTTACAAGGTACAAGATACAATTATTCTTTGGTTCTTATTACTTTTTAATTCAGTATTTCTAGGAAAAAAAGAAGCCCTTACTGACAAAGATTCAGAAGAAAAACAGTCTAGCGTGGACAAAAGATCACAAATTATCGTCTCCATTATTTGGAGTGATGAAGCCAGATTTGAAGTATGCGTTGGTGATTTGGTGATAGTAGGAGTCTTAAGAACTAAAGAAGAAGTGTTTCAGAATGACCGTCACAAAAAAGTTGAGTTTCCGGCTTCTGTTATGATTTTGAGATCCATGACAGCAAGTGGAGTGGGAAAAATTGCTCTTTGTGGAAGGTATTATGAATGCTGATAGGTACATTAATGTGCTTCAAAATAACTCAATACACCAAATTAAACAAAAGCGTTTAAACATTGTTGAATGTATCTTCCAACAAGATGGTGCCGCGTGCCATACGGCTAAAAAAGTGAAAAGTTGGATGTTAGAAAACAATTATTCAGTTTTAAAATTTTCGTAGAGTAGTCCAGATCTATCGCCGATTGAAACCTTGAGGCATATCATGAATAAATAGCTCTGATCGAATCCCGCAACAAGCGTTCCAGAATTGCGAACCCCTCTTCAAGAGGCCACTGTGTCAAGACGTATTGAAGAAGTAATCAGTAATCTTTGCTACAAAAAAAAAAATAGTATTTTAGGCTAATATTAAATAAACATATCGTATGTTATCGGAAATACATTTTAGCTTTTAATACATTTCCGCTAATATGACAAAATTTCATAAAAAACGTAGTTTTGATAGTTGGGTGAATTTCACTGAGCCAGGGCTCGTATAGTAAATAGGGAAACAATTGTGACAGATTCAGATAGATCACGCTACTGTATCTCATTTATAGCATCAGGTTGGCTAACTTCAGGTAGAAAAACTTCAGAATTAGTGGTATCATTCACCCACAGACTACACCGATTATGATAATTTTATTCTGTATTTTTTCAACTTTTTCTAACTTCAGCGTTTATTGCCGTTTAGGACAAGTACAAATTGTGAGCTTGAAAATTGGTTTTCTGGGTGAGTCGGATGCCCATATTCAAAATCAGAAACCACACAGCAGTAGCACCCACAGAAACGTTCCGGGCGCCTCATTTTCTACCCCAATTTGGATCTCGCGATACTTTGAAACCATCAAAATGTACACAATCTACTTCAGCGACCTAAGTTACGTAAGTAAGTAAGCAAGCGTAAAAAATGCATTCACTTGTAACAACAATTTGAGGTTTCTTACGAGAACACTTTCAAACCTTTCTCTGCGCATCCGTGATCTGGACAAAAAAGGTTTCATGAGTAAAAATTAGGTGCGCATATTAGAATCCATCATCAATTCAGTGTTAGGGCCTACAGAAGGTCTCAGACGATCCAGTTTCTCCATCACAATCGGACCAATGATTCGTTAGAAGGTATTCACGTTTATGTTTGAATCCAGAGCCTCAAATTACCTAGGCTTTTCACGGAAAACGGAAACGCAAGTCAAATATTTGAAAAGTCCTATAGTCAGTTGAGGCCTCTTACAACAGAATTTCCTGAAACCGTTACGTATGTGTAATCTGGACGAAAATTCGTTGTGTGAGTAAAACTTTTCTGCAGATTCAGAATCGGATGTCAATTTGCCGCCATAGCGCTATGAACATTTTGGTTAGTTTGGTTTCGGTAACATATTATTGCCAAGTTTCTTGAACCCTTAACGGGGCTCCTACAATCATGAGCACCATCTGCTGAGGTAACGGGGGGAGGTGAAAAGGAAAGGAGGGTGGGCTGGCCTTAGACGGTCGTCGGCGCTACTTTAAAAGAGGAAAGGATAACGGCGGTTGCGTACCGAGGAAAATTTTTATAATAACAAAGTCGGATTTCGATTACCGATCTAGCCTGTAAATCGTTTCCTATTTTGGTACTCAGCAAGTGATCATTTAGTATTGTTCTACCCTTGTTACTGTTCGTCGATATTGTGTTGTTGAATTGTTCTGATGGACTCTTGTTGGTGTGATTGTTCTTGAGTGCCTTTTTTATCAAGGTTGATAATGGACAATAAAAGGTCATATGCGACAATTTCAATTACAAATGCAGTGAGTTTAATTCATGATGAGGACAACAATAGTGTGGAACAGTTCAACTCTGTAATCGCAAAATACATTGGGGTGAGCGAATAAATAATTGCAAGAAGAGGTCATACCATGGAAGATGTGCTGCAGCTGTAATGAGCCACAATACCGAGCGGCCTGTCTATGTGGTCCAAATAAATTTGCGTTCTAAGCTTAGTCCAACCTCGCTTATCACTAAACGAAACTCAGACCAAAAAAGGTTGATATAAAAATAACTAACAACTCTTATAGCAATTCCAAAGAAAATGAATAGTTTTATGGCGAATTCTGTCACAAACCTGACATGAACGACATTGATTTGGAGGTTGCTAAGCAAGAATTTTTAGGGAAACTTAGAAAAAGTAACGACAAGATTTTTCAGATCGAACAAGTCACCAAATCACAGGACTGTACTTTGTCGCGCCTTCATCGGAGGATAAGGTTGACAGCGTCTCGATTTGGTGAAGTTTGTAGAAGAAGGCAGACAACAAGCTGTAGGGTTCTAGTAAACTCCATCATATACCCAACAGAGTTTTCTAGTAAGGCAATACAAAAATCATTGGACACGGCAGTTCAATCTTGTGGTTTGTTTATTGATCGCACACATCCATTTCTGGCAGCATCACCTCCATCTACCTATTACAGTAGACAAGACATGTAGATACTTAATCCAGGTATAAGCCTACCTGTTTATTGCTTTGCAAAAACTGCCTAACTGTTTCCTCTTATTTTGACAGCATAAGATATTTTTATGACCCTCGTTTAATTGTTACCATCTACCACATGACCCTTGTAAACATAATTGTGTTTATTGACACGAATAAACGAATTTGAATTTGAGTTCTTGAATTTATTTTAGGAAAGATACAAAATTATTTGAATACATTTTTTCTTAGTCGGAACGCACCGTCGCGTCGCTTGGACTGGCAGGACGAAACAGTAGATGAATTTCGCCCAAAATCCGATTTGCACTTCACAGCCTACGTTTCATTTTTATTATTTCCAAATGAAACTCTTGCAGCGTGCTAAAAACAACGTCCACAGAGTGCCAGCGATCCACTTTTTCGATTTTATCCACTAGGATCTTTTTAAAATATTAAGAATTAGAGCACAAATAGTAATCATTTCAACCCACCATAATTCTTGAAAGACAAAATTCTGTAAAAAGCTCTGATTAGGTAATTATGTTCTACTAATATCCCGAAAAACATCACAAACTACAGAACACAAATTGAAGGTAACGGCGAAACGGGTACATTTCACGGGTCATGAAATTCAAATGAAAATGCAGGTATAAAATCTACCAAAGTGTCATTCATCATATTTCCTTGACATATCGATAATTTTAAAGTTCCACGCTAAATTCCCCTATACTTGACTGGAGTGATATCCGAATTTATTCTTCCCTACTGTCGGTAGTTGCAGATCTGTTGGCTCTTGGTGTCAAACCTATAGAGCAGGTACCGATTTTTTCAAATCGTGAGCACATTATTCGTCGGATTTTCGTTACTTAAATTTCCTGTAATCACTAGGATCCGAAGCTTCTTAATATACTAAGTGACATATAAATCCGAACACCCAGTTTAAATGGTTTTATTTTAATAAAATTTTGTATAAGTACTTAATGAAGCATAATAAGTAAATGATAAAAAATTCAAAATGATTGCACTGCTTTAAAGCCCTTTGACCTTTAATAATGTGTGGATGCACCCTGATGTGCTACGCATTCTCCAACGCGCCTAGGCATGCTTCTGATCAGGTGGTCAATGTCCTCCTGTAGTATCTCATTCCAGGCAACCACCAACTCCTCTCGACGTGCTTCTAGAGTCTGAGGAGGACGTTGCAAATTGAGCAATCTCCTACCCATCATATCCCACACGTGCTCAATTGGGGATAAGTCGGGAGATCTTGGTGGCCGTGGTAACAATGTGACATCATTATGTTGAAAGAAGTCTATTGTGACTCTTGCAACATGTGGTCGGGCATTATCTTGTTGGAAAGTTGGATCTGCCAGGGTGTCAAGATAGGGTAAAAGATGGGGTTCTAGAACTTCGTGGATATAACGCTGCGCGTTCATGTTACCTCTGATGAAGATTAAAGGTGACCTGGAACCATAAGCTATACCACCCCAAACCATAACTCCAACAGTGTGATGAACATGTCTTTCAACAAAAAACTGTGGATTCCTCCTTACACCATGTCGCCTTCTAACCCTGGCACGACCATCGTGCATGCCTAAACAAAATCGAGACTCGTCACTAAAGACAATACTGTTCCATTCCTGATCCCAGAGTGACCGTTGTCTGCACCACTCAAGGTGATTACGTCGGTGTTTTCGAGTTAAAGGGAGGACCCAGTGTGGCCGGTATGAAAACAAGCCAAAACTTGTCATTCGTCGGTAAACACTTCGCATGCCAATAGGTCTTCCGTGTTCTGCAAACCATTCATTTGCAATGGACCTGGTAGTGGAGAAACGGTCCCATAAGGCCAATAATTTTAGGCGGCGATCTTCACGGTCTGTTGTTCTACGGAGGCATCCAGTGCCCCTTGCTCTTTGCGTACGGCCTTCTCGAAGCCATGCCTGACAACACCTAACCACAGTGTCTACACTTCTTTGCACTCTAACTGCAATTGCCCGAAAAGAAAGTCCAGCTTCCCGAAGACCCACTATACGGCCCCTATCAAACTCACTAAGTTGACGAAATCGTACAGGTCTCCGTACTCTAGGCATCGTAACCGATCGTAAAGGATGTCAAGAACCAAAATCCGCCAACGTTGATTCTTTACTGCGGCTGAAATATTCATTTTTAGAGCGTTAGTGAATTAGAAAAAAGCAGTATTTCCAACTGATAAGGCTGAAAATTTTTTCACTTGTTATTTACAGTAAGATAAATACATTCACCAACTTTTATTAAAATAAAACCATTTAAACTGGGTGTTCGGATTTATATGTCACTTAGTATAATAGAACGTGTTACACTGATTTCAACCCCCCCCCCTCTTTTTAAGCAGTACAATTTTTTTATGTCAATGATTAGGAACTCCTGAAACGTCATAAACGGAGTTTCAGCAATTGTTACTTTTTCTTTTTTGCCTATAGCACTGTTGCCACTGGACTAAAACTACAATGCTTTGGCATACTAGTAACCCCGTGTGGAAATTTCATAAAAATCCGAGCGATAATTTCCAAGTTGATGATGAGTGATGCAGTTTTTCGTGATGCAGATGTCATATGACTTAAAAAACATAACATCTCATTTTTGAAATTTTTCGCGATTACAATACTTCCTCGCCAATGACGTGGGAAGTAAGACGGCTTTAAATTCGAGGAGTAACAGCGATCGCGATTATGAGTACCTATTTGAAGAACGACTTATCTACGCGATATTATATGAAATAGGGCCACTAAATTATCTGAATACGTCCTTTCTTAGTCCGTACAATTGCGACGCAACGCTTGGGTTGGCAGCAGGAAACAGTAGACAAAATTCGTCCAAGATACGATTTGTAGAGGTTTGCGCGCTTCGAAATTGACGCTTTATTTTTTGATACTTTTGGATGAAATTTTCACAGTGTGCTGAAAACAAAACCCCACAGGGTGCTATAGAGCCACTTTTTCATTTTCTTCTCTAAGTTCTTTTTAAAAAAATCGCGAAGTTGTACAGAAGAAGTGCGCACTTCAACCCATCGATCATAAAACTTGTGCAAAACCAAATTTTCTAAAAGTGTTCCTATAATAAATAAATAAATAAAACCGACTTTATTTTAAACTTGGCGAAGGCCAGCTATGCTGTTAACTTAACCGAGCATGTAAAAGTAACAACAACCCAAAAGGTAAAGTAATATGACAAGAAACAAGTTTTACATAGCACCCTGGGCAATTATCAACATACTGTATGAATTTCATTCAAAAATATTGAAAATTAGAGTGTCAGTTTGGAAGCAGCTGAACCCTTGTAATTGGCTTGAAACTCACTGCTTCGGAGCCGCCTTAATGTCCCGATCAAACATGTTTCGGGTACAGCAACAGACATGTTTCAACTAAATGCTTCTGTGCAATGTTGCAAAACATCTAGATCTGTTTTACAATATTGCGCATATAGGTTGCTGTACCTACATCAAATCAGTAGGACGGTAACCAAACCAATAAAAATGTTCATAGGAAGGATTCATGGAGAGTCCCAGACGAACTATTTTCTACCTTAAAATTGGACCAGCGATACTACATGATTTTTTGATACTCGTGTATTCAATGCCTCAAAATATCGAATTGTATCAAGTTATATCCGCTTCTATTAAGAACGGCTGACAATAATGAAAAGAATTTTCTACCCATATTAGAAGTATATCAGAAGTATCTCCAATCATTTTCACATACTACCGAAATAAATATTGATATTTTCTGCAGGAAGAAATACGATAATGCATGACCCTTTAAGCACTACAATATTCATCCTTCGCCCCTCGTATATACTCTCAGATCACTTCCGCTCACCGAATGAAGGTGGCAGCACCTGTCAGGGCTCAAAACAGTTAAACGTCAACTTTTTCTTTTCTATTTCATGTTTCATGAATTTGTTTCTGGCAGGCTGGCAGCTTATGTGTTTTGTGCCTCTAAAAGAAGCTTGGTCTGTTAGGGTGTGTTCTTGAGTTATTTTGTGGTTTCCGTTATTTTTCCTTGTTTTTTCACACGATGTGATTTTTGAGCAAATTTAATGACGACTCTTTCGCCTTGCATCCAAAATTCATCAAGTGACCACTAGAATAATAAAATGGAGGGAACTTCGGAATCGAAAGAAAAATTGCAGTCACCGGTAAGGAAACTAGAGCTAGACAGAAGTCTCAAAACAGTTGAAAAAGCTGTTTTCTATATTATATAATAGGCTTGATGATTATTTCCATATTTATTACTCCTTGCATTGTTTCTTCACTTTACAACTATGAGGACAACCTCAAAAGTCGATGTTCTGTTTAATAACTCGACATTATGCTATAAAAATGATTTCACAGACAACCATGGATAACGATCGGTTAGCAGCTGAGACAGCTGTGAAAATTGAAGTGGTTGAAGTGAAGCAAGAAGTACCTGAGATGATGGAGAGTGAATCTTTTGGAGTTGACCCAAGCACAGTGGCACTACCGATCAAGGAAGAAGACTGCAAAAATTCTGATAGGATAGACATAAATAGGTAGTTTTTTCAGATTTTCTATTTGATTTCCAACCCTGGCAAATGTCATGACTGTATAGTCGTTTTCACAAGTATCTATTATTATGGTAGAATGATAGCTGATTATCTAGTAATATTTCAAAATTCCCCATATCTACTGTCTCTCTAGACGGAGTCATATTTTGTTTTGTTTTTTGTATGCTACATATTCATTTTGTACTTGCTAAAAGCTCTTTTATGCAGAAAAGTTCATTTGCATACAAAAAACAAAATGTTACAAACAAGTTTTACTAGATTTACACCCCATTCATTATTATCATCTCTGCAGTCTACTTAACACAAAAAAGCCACTTGCTGACTGTTTACCTCAGTAGATGTCAAAGCATGATGGATACTTGTGAAGTAGGGTATATTTACTGTGGGTCAGCCCCTGTTTCTAATGTGATATTTGGGTGATTCTCTGTAAACTCGTCAACGCACCATACAAATCTGTCCAGAGATTTTATAGCAATATATATCAAAGAAACACCATCTAAGGCCTACGAAATCGACACATACATCTCAAACACGAAAATGCCCATTGAAGAAATAGCTATTTTCTCCGATATTAGCTGTTTTCTAAAAGTTCTTAGCAGGGGACTGTTATATGTAACAGAGGACTGTTTCAAGCAGGGCAGGGGACTGCCTAGTGAGGTAGGGGACTGTTTAAAATTCATAAAAATCGTAGGCATGTGCTTAATATTCTTTATTTTGCATCATCAGTGGTACCTCTATGACCACTTAATAGTAGTACAGTAAAAATGAATACAAAAACATATAACGTCATACAAAAATATTCAGTTTCATCAAGAGGTACATAACATTCCATATTTTGTACTACAAATGAGATCAAGAAACTAGTTTCACAAAAAAAAACTCAACAACCTTCACTAACACTATTATGATAGTACAGTAACAAAATAAAACTTCACTTACAAATTTTTATAGAAAAACTAACATTTTTATACGTTTGATGGTTCATTAGAAAGCCAGGCATGGAACATCCAGAAAATATAAAAACTCAACATCATCACCATGTGATATTTTGTAGTTTTGTAGTCATAAAAATAGTATCACAAAAGATCACCGTCATTCATTTAAAATGCCCCTACCGACATATATATGCAATATTGTTGTAGTTTACAAAATAAATCTGAACTTACAAACAAAACTTAAAAAAAACTATTCTCTGAGTATCGGCCAGATGACTTCGTAACTTGAAAGAAACAATCATCTCTCATACACGTTCACCAAAGACTCAAATTTGTAAAATATTCGATTCCCTTTCAGTATTAAATCAGGACTCTTCAACTTCTGAACTACATGGTCAAATGATACATCTGATATGTCACTTTCATCTATTTTAAAGGTTTGAACCTTGTCATCACAAACCTTTAAAAATGTAACACGCAAATCATTTTCCTCTTCGTCGACTTTATTAACCACGGCAGCATATCGATACTCCACATGTTTTACCAAAAATCTAACAAGAACGTAGTCTCCAGTGCTATAACATGAATGCTGTCGACCACTAGTTCCAGCGACTTCATCACTTACGACATTCACAGGCATATTTGACTTATATTCGCTTAAATTTATATTACTATCCGAATCCGATTCTGAAAACACATCTTCTACTCTCAATCTTGGATTCAGGTCATAAGTAATGTTACCTATCTTAAAATGCTCACAAATGCCTGTGTTGCAAAAACAGCTGAGGCTCCTCATTGTTAAGGTTATACAGTTTGCTGGGAGGTCAGAAATGGAGCTAGAAAAGACCCCTGTGACTTGATGCACATTTAACGTGCCTTTGAAGCCCTTCTGCCTAAATGCCTCCTGTTGAAGTTTATTGGACATTTCCTGAATATCTTGACTGTCGATTGTGATGCAAGTTATATTTGGGCATCTTTCTTGGATACATTGTACAAACTGTTCGATATTATTTATATCGCCACCAGCATTTACAACAAAATCGGCAGTTCTTTTACACGTTGCACCAACTCCATCTGGTGCACCTTTCCCATGCCCACTCTCGGTATAGTTCCAGGTGAATTGTTCTATACCTGGAATATCTTGCGGTAGTTTGGTTGCCATCATAAAGAACATTGTTTTGTTACGGTATTGCGTAACGGGGCCATCGCTCAAGAAATGTACATACATGCTTTATGCCACATGGAAGTGATTGAAAAATGGATCCTAGATGTACCCAAATAGCAGCAGGTGAGTGGGCTATTTTATCTGATATCGTGCAGTAGGAATGTATTTTACCTTTTAAATAAACTACTACTGTATGCAGGCTCAATTGCGCTCTAGATCCACCGAAATGAAATGCTTGTATCTCTTCGGCATACTTTGTGTAATAATTTTCGCTGAAGTCGATATGAATAAGGACATCGTCGTCTTGTAGATTTTGTTTTAAATGATTTATGATATTTCTTTGATGTACAAAGAATTTTTCTAAATCTGTGTGTAATTGTGATATTATTTGACGGGATGTCCATTGTACACCATTTTCAGGTGTTTTATCACTATCTTTGGCTTTTTCGTCTTTAAATCTATGATTTCTTGTCTTTCTTGGACCCACATCTTATATTTTATGATTCTCTTATCGTTGAATTCTTTATATTTAGGAAGTCTATTTTTGCAAAGAAGGCATCTTCTTGATAAGCAGTTTTCATTATACCGGTCACAACATAGCTGTTCCAGTAACTTCTGGTAGTTGTTGTAGGCAATTATCTTTGCATCATATAGAGCCCGCAACTTCATGTCCAAATTACTGTGAGTTACGCACAAGCATGTGTCACGATTTTGTGTACTTGGTCTTACTATCCAAAATGGACGCAACCCACAGAATGTTTGATAACTAATCTTGAAGTTATTTGCCAACATTTTTTTGTATAAATTAAGAATCGTATCAAGAAGATATCTCTTTTGCTTTCTCACATTCTGTTTTGTAACGTATTCTTTTTTCCCAGCTCCTATGCGACTGTTACTGTCATCTTCAAAAAAGGACCGAAGAGCTTGCTTATAATACCTTATTGGTATTCTTATCCGCCGCATCACAGGCACGGTCAAAGTATTGTAACGTTTTGTACTCTGAACACCTCTATACAAAACACCACAGTCTCTGGGTATACACCGCCTGTACTTTTGTAATCGAACTCCAGACAAGACTTTCGTAAATATTTGTTTATCTTTAATACATTTTAAATTTGAATAATTTTCTTTGAGTTGTTCATTTAAAACGTCGCTAAACAACGCTTTCTTAACCACTTCTTTTCTACCTCCAGGTTCATTCAACATCTTCTGCATTTTAGTGTTGGGTGTGTCTGCTTTATTTTTCTTACTTCTATTTTGTAATCTTGTTATTCTTTTCCTATATTTATCTACTTTTTTCTTTAGAGCTTCTATCTTCTCATCCTTTTCCTTATTCACTTTTTCTCTCCGCTTTTTGACTTGCCTTCTTCGATGTGAATTGATAGCCGTTACCGTAGGGATCTGGTTACTAGGAAAGTCAATGGAAACTGAAGTGTTGCATCCTGCAGATGAACAAGGGCTCCCTTGATCAGATGAAAGCATGTTTGCACGTGGTGTATTGAGAGCCACTGTCGCATCCTTTTGTTTGGCCCGGTAAGCAGCACAATGCTCCCTCCACTTTTTTAAGGCAGCCCTATGTTCACGTGAAGTCATGTCTTTGGCTAATTTTCTCAAGTCTTTTTCCTTTTTTCTTTCCTATTTCAACTTCTCCTTTATTCGCATTTCTTCCCTCATTTGCGGGTCATTCTTTTTTCGTTGGTACCTCAAACGTTCAGCTTCCCTCTTTTTCTGTAATTATTCTTCTCTGGATAACTTTTTCCTTTTCGAAGCCATCTGTAAAAAATTCTTATGTTTAGTGCGATACATATAGTAGCGTTGTCTGCAAAATATCAACAGAGAACTGATATCAGCAGTCCCCTGGAATGGGCTACAGTCCCCTGGCATCTTGGAGGCCAGGGGACTGTGTATTTCGATTAAATCATTCAACATCAACGAAACAGCTGCTAGGGATTCAATTTCACGACAACTGATCACTCAACACAGGAATTATAGGAGCAATACATAATACATATATGGTTAATTATGAATATTATAAACTTTAATACTTACCAGAGGACTGTGTGCTGTAACGGCCCTGACACGTGCTCTCACAAGAAACGACGCGCTAATACTAACCAAAATGGCGCTGCGCAGTCGCTTGCTGCAGTGGAGCGACCTTGACCATAGGTGCGTTCCGTTTAATGCCGAATATCATTTGAGACCGGCGCAAACATCTTTTATTTGAGGTTAGAGATTTGTACAGGGTACTGTTTGGAAAAAATGTGGACAAAATTACACACATTTTAGAAACTTGATAAATTTAAATTATAGTATCATTTGACAGAATTGTCATAATTTGGTTTATTCATTTTCAAAGGACAATTGGCCACATAGCATGACATTCATAAATCCATTGAAAATAATATCACAAAGTGGATATCATAAGAATGGGACAGCCCAGGGGACTGTGTTTCATGATATTTGGGAGCATATAAAAAATAAACTGTAACTATTACCAATATTATATCAATCGCACAAGGAAGGCATATTGTTAAACTTATTGTATAAGCATCCTTTATGTTTTATATAACAATACTCAATTGGATATCAGACATGGACCGGGATTTACGACTTTACAGAGAATCACCCATTTATTGATTATGTAGCCTAGACATTAGTAATTACTGATGCATAAGGTTATGTAGAAATTCACTGATACTGATGGAATCTTCATTAAATACTGATGGTTCAAACCACAGTAAAGACATTAAGGTTACAGGTTTTATGGGTAGAGGGCAACTATGGAAAGTGTGATTTATAACTTTATATAACAGAAGATATTTTCAAAGGGAATCTGTAATGCTAAGGTTTGTCACTAAGTTTGTAGTGCCATCCCTGCGATATACACCAAACTGTTTATAGAACCCTTCAAAAATATGCTAGCTCCATCTTTGAACTTCCCTCTTACACTGTCGAGCTAAATTTGAATTGAATATAAGATATTTTAAGTAAAATGAGGCTCAACCTGATTTTATTTTTAAAATGTGTATTTTGTTAATACAATACATCAAAATTACAGTTATGCAAGTGGTTAGTAATCTAAAAAATAATTGGTATTAACATGTAAATTTACAATTAGCAATTTCTCTACTCCCTTCATGAGTTTCGAGACTACTCTGAACATTTTCCAAAACCATACCTAAAAACGGAATTGAATTTCATTATGTTTAAGCTAGGTAAATTTTTCCAAAAATTGCGCAAACCGTAAATACTGTGAAAGTTTTTGGGACCCCAAAATGTTTGAATCATTTAATCCAGATTAGTCACTGATTAGACAGTGCATGTACCTCATTTATATAATGTGATCAAAGTTATTACTTACTTGAAGATTGAAATTCAGGAAGATGTAGTGTAGGAGAAGCTGCTTTTTCAGACCTCAGACACCAATCTTATATAAATTTGTGACTTTTATTGTCCAAAACTGGATTTCGCACTTGCTCGATCCATTTGTTGAAAAGAGCAGCATCATATTTTGGAACTGTATGCCTTTTATGGATTGTATCAGTACAACCAGGCACCACGCACTTTTTAAATTCCCGCTTTCGATAAGCCTCCATTACAAAGATTAAGTTTGTAAATTTAAATTCAGTTTAATGCTCAATAGTATCACGGGTACAAAACTAATAAAAACGCCGGCGCCGCACAAAATTCAACTTTCAATTCAAAATTACGAATACATCAACGTCAAAGCATTGAACATTGGACCGTCAAAAAGAACGAGGGGAAAATCCAGCATCAGCGCCACTCTGTGGTTGTACTCCGTACTAACTATGTAAGATTATTTTGTTGCCTACCAAACATAACATACCTTCAAAGTCACACATTTAACTTTCTTTTATAAAGTAGGTGTTATGTGGATATTTTCAAAACCTGTAAATATGGCTAAATATCTTTTAGGGCACTGCTTAGCAGATTTCATGAATTAATTTAGTATTGAAAGCAAATTGTCAGTTCAAATTTGAAATTTTTCTAACCTCAACCTATTATTTCCTCACCATAGATAGTTTTTTTGAATGTGACTTTTTTAGGATAAAAAATGAACCAGTTGAGGCTGAAAACTGGGGCGAGTGTGCTGTGAAGGAAGAACCAGGTTTAGATCTGACAGATGAAGAACTAGAGGAAGAAATGAACCAGGACTATAGAGTATTCATCAAGGATGAAAGCACTAGTGAATATATAGTGGGGCCAGATGAGCAGGATAGGTAAGACATTTTAACTCACTACTAGATAGAATTATATACTTATACACAGAATAACATACATATTTTAAAAACTGAATTAAAAAATATCTTTTGATTCTTTTTTTAGTATAAATGAAAGTTTGGACATAGTATTCAATCTGAGAGTGTAGATTGCACTGTTTACAATCTACCAGGTGTAACAAGGTAATCGAATGACAGATTTTTTCTTGGTAAGGTATTTTTGAGAAAGTTCCAGGTCAGGTCTCCAATAACTTTGGACAAGTATTCCAATGGTAACCTTGGATTTGACCTTGCTCCTTTTTGACACCATATGACCTCCAAATATGTATTAAAATCTAACGAAGGTCAAATTTTGCAAGGGAAAATCTATAGAAATTGAGCAGGATTATTGAAGAAAGAAAGTCAGATGTTAATAGTAACAAAGATTTCAATGTTGAGCTTGGATTTGACCTTTATCCTCACCTTCAGTGTTAGTTCAAAGTAATTTATGTTTTTAATTAATGAATAATCTTGCTGAGCATTGAATTTGTCCTAGCCTCACACATTTTGAACGTAGAATTTTCCGTTCTTTTAATTCCTGACATCAAAAGGGAGACTTTTCATTTGAAGAACAAAAATAGACCTTGAAATAACCTAGAAGGTGAGGCTCAACGTCAAGTGTGTGAGGCTAGAAAAAATCTCTACAAGTTTGACAGTATTATTGATGAAAAAAAGGCAGATATTTATAGTAACAGAAATTTCAGTATTGACCTTAGATTCACGTTCAATGTTATTTTAAGGTTAATTTTTTTTTGCAAAAACGTGTTCAATAATTCTACTGAACTTCTAGAAATTTTCTCTAGCCTCATACATTTCAGACAAAAAATTTTCCGTCCTTGCAATTGCCAGTGGCAAAAAGGGGCACCTCATTTGAAAAACAAAAATAGACCTCGAAATAACCTTGAAGATGAGGTCTCATTGAACTCCTTGCTCAAAGATCCGACCTTGACCTTTTTCAAATATACCTTAGAAAAATACAGAATCCTTCCATTACCTTTTTGCACCTGGTAGATAAAATGAATGAACATGCTTCTCTGAAAGTAGTATTAGGTAATCAATCAGGGTGTCCACTTTCTGAAAATCGGGTTAAGCCATGGAGTGGTCCAGAAAACAAAAGATGCTTAGAAGAAGAGTTATTACAAATCATTTTTCAAATCTACCTCAATTTTTTTTGACGCCAAATGACGCTACAGGTGTATACAGGGACTACTGACGTTTCAGTCACCTCACAGGCCTTTTTTTAAAGTACAAAATGACAATGAAATATATTTTATGTCTTCCAGGTGATAGTTAATTTGTTTTTTACCGCCACTATTCAGTTGCGTTATTTATTAAAAGCATTTAAGATAATCAAAATAAAACCGACTCCATTCAGGGAAATGTGGACAGCCTGGTGAATTTTGTAAATACAAAATCAAACGCCATATACAATCATATTACTTATATTCCAAATGCTGCGATAATTTTTTATTTTCATGTTTCATCTTAATATATTTTTGTTTAAAGTCCAACACTAACTGCTTAGATCACAGAATAATTGACAGTTTTGGTCAAAATCTGTATTTCAAATTTTCACTGTGTGTCTTGAGGTAAAACCAAGGAGGGCTATCCTGTTTCATCTGTTTATGTAAAAAAATAGGAAAACTGAACAATATGGCCTTTTTCATGAGTATCCATCATATTTAGACGACTACTGAGATGAACAGCTGTACTGCGTTCGTAAATTTTAGCGTTCTTAATTTTTTGAAGTACCTGTTCTGTCACTTGTCATACTCATAGATTGTTTGTTTATTTGATGTGGTTATCAAAAACTGCTCAGAATTGGCAGAATATATATTTTTCACGATAGATGCTACCTCGTATCCCTAGGGTCTCTTATAATAACTACAATGGTCACATAAAATGTGGTTAGAAGTTAGTCAGCTGTCATCAAGTGTCATTACATGACTGTAATAATTTAGGCGTTCTAAAAATAAAGTTTCACAGTATTCCAGAGTAAAATTTCATCTGGCAATCTACATTCCATTACGGTATTACATTACCACTGATCCTCAAGTGACATCTTTGTATTGAAGCCTGTAGTGCTGGCAATAATGAATATGGTAAAACTAGAACCATATTCAGAAGAACTGTTCATACCAAATACCGTCAAGAAGTGTTTATCTTGTTTTATATCTATGCGACTTGTAATATAGTCATGATCATTAGCAGCCATTTTACTTGTAGCGTGTTTTTTCTTGAGTGCGAAGGTACTTTTACTTTTAAATAAAAACGTTCTTAAGAAGTATGATTCCGAACCGTAATAAATACCACAACAGAATACGACTCTGCCCATAGATCTAGATTGACAGATCCATGGAGCTTATACAGAGGTGTTTCAGAAAGATGTACCAATATTTCTAGTGTTGAAGGTACATCCAAAAATAACAATAAAAGTTTCTATAAATTTCTCCTAAGGAATTTTTGTCAAACCACTCATTTTGGAGATATTTAGGTTTGAATATTTGAGGTATAATCCTAAAATATTATTATGAAAAGGCTTAGCCTGCTCTGTTCTCAAAACACTGAAGCTTGATTTTGAAAACACGATATGGCATGTGAAGAAAACTATCGTACCTCTTTATACTATTAATTGAATAATATGCCTGTCTTATCCTCAATCAGTAGCGTAAACGGCTTACCATTCGTTACGCCGTGTCTATGTACGCCACTGGTTTACATGGTATACTTCTCCTGGTGTTACCCATGTTAGATTCTTCTATTTGTCTAAAATAACAACTAGTAATTGTGGAAACAAGCAATTTGTGTAAAATTCTTGTTATTTCACTTCAGAAATTATCGGCGTTTTTTCTAAAAGTTCTTCAGCATTTCGGATTAAATGAAAGAAGATAGCACAAATCGTTAGCAACCTCGGACACGGAGTATGAGGCCGAAGTATACAGACGCCTTCCAACACTGTTCGTATTATGTCAGGTATTTTCCAAAGAGTATTTGAGGCGTAATGCATGGGCTTGTGTTGAATCCAGAAGTGGTGACTTTCAACACCTGCCTTAAGTTGGATGTTATAGCATCTATTCGGCATTATTTTTTGTTCCGAATGTTATGTGCTTATAAATTAAGACATAGTTACGTAAGTTGAATCAATTTGTGTTTATTATTGTCGTGTTTAATTCTTATTAGCGTTATTTATTTCTTTGTTTTGGTGGTGGCAAAGTTTCCTTCACATGCCACTTAACGTTTCCAATATCACGCTTCACCGTTTTTCCGATTAAGCAAGGCTAAACCTTTTCATAAGAATATTTTAAGATTTTACCTGTATGTATTCAGACCTGAATGTCTCCAAAACAAGTGATCTGACAATAATTCCTTGAGAGACAAAATTCATGGAAAATTGAATGGTATTCTATAAATAGAAAAATTTCCTGCTAGGGGTCCAGATACTCCAATTTTTAGGTCGCTGGTTTAGTTTGGGCCGGGAAACTGCTCAGTGAACGCCTGAAAGCTTAACTCATTATCTTTACCTGCTCCGTAGATATAATAATTTTTTTTTCAATTTCGAAAATATAACTTCACCCTGTATTTCAGGTGCTCTTCTGGTATATAGGCTCCATGGTAATGGCACTCGCGAAAAATATTATCCGACATTTTGTGCAGGTTAAAGTTTGAATTTCAGTGCATCTAAGATTTAACTCTAATAACTTCTAAGACCTTAGGTTATTGTAGTATTTTTTCTAGACACGTCAGTTATTGCGATCTGATCAAAAGAGACACAGCAAAGTCTGATACACAAGAGTATTTTTGACATTGACCAAAATCGTCGCTTCTTCTACATCTGACCGGTCAATATTAAGTTTGACCATCTACAACAGATATATAACTTTTCCAGTGATGTGATACAGAGCGTATCAAAGAAAGAACAACTTAAGAATAAGAAACGTAGTAGGAAGTTGTATAGTTGTTACAATTGTGATTATACCACGTTACATAAGCTTCGCTTAGTAAAACACGTGGATAAATATAAAAAACAGAATGACGCCGATCCCCTGAATTTTGGAAATGAGCTTAAAATATGTGCGCATTGTAATAGATTTAAACGTGAACAAACCCTAGATGATATTATAATCAAGAAACATCCTGAATTTATTTCAACTATCACTGTAAACATACACGAATGTAAACTTTGTACATATGAAAGTACAAGAAGTGATTATCTAGCTAAGCATATATTTAAACATACTGAGGCATCTGATCACTTGAAGCGAAATACGTGTAGCCATTGTAATGCTCATTTCAAATCTGTACCAAATCTGGATAACCATATCATAATGAAACATCCAGAGTTTGCTCCGTCTATTCCTAGGAAAATACACGAGTGTAAACATTGCACATTTAAAACTACCCGTACAACTTGGTTAGCTAAGCATATGTTTAAACACCCTGAAGCCGTCGGTAGCCACAAGTTAAGGTCTTGCATGCATTGCAATGTTACTTATGAAAGTAAAGAAACTTTGGATAATCATATAATTAGAAAACATCCCGAGTTCATTGACTCTGTTTCTAGAAAAGTCTATAAATGTGCGCGTTGTCCTTATAAAAGTATCATGAAAAGTCATTTTACTCGGCATGTTGCGAAGCGGTCTAACTTTAATAAATTCAGAAATCGTTTCTGAATATTTTTCAATGTTTAGCACCGTCAGAGTGAGGATTGCAAACCGGAAATTGTATAAATGGAAATACATATTTTGAATGGTATGTAAATTGGTCCCTATGCTTCGCTTCTTACCCTCTTGCAGTAAAGCTACATATCTCTTCTTACTTCTCACACGAATCGCGAGAATTTTCGAATATGATGGTATATGACATGTATGTGTTCATCACAAAAAACCTGTCACTCATTTCCGACGGCCTGTCCACTAATCTCAGAACCGCCTGTAACTTGAGGAGTGCCGCTCGGGTTTCGA